ATCTCAACAGATGCTTGTCTTTAAAAGGAATCATTCTTTAGTGAAGAAAGATTTTTCTTAAAAATGAAAGGAATTTGAGAAATCATTAATAAACTAAACTTCTATTAGTCAGCATGCTTTTCAAATTACCTTTGCCTTGCCCAAGAATATTATTGAAATCAATTACTTGAAGATTTTTTTCTCTTTAGCTACGAATATATTAATTTTTTTATACTTGTTAAGAACTGGAATGATTTTAGTAAACATCGAACAAATAGTCTACTAACTTGAAGTAAACGGTATTGTATTGTAATGTTTTGTTTTAGAAATTAATATTGGTTTGAAAAACAATACTCGACTAACAATGAACAACAAATTATCGAAGAACACAGAATCCGCAACAAATTTCAACTATGTTAAGTCTCTGCCAAATAATTCAAATAACAATGTCAAAACTTATGAATTAGAAATATTAGTAAGAAATATTCAAAGCGTCATTGATAACCTGAAAAAAGAAGTCAAACTGAGCCCTTTAGGGCGGAATAAATTGTTTAATGAATTATTTTCTACTCTCAATTCTCTGGAAGATACATTGAAACCAAGTAGATCAAATATTTGTTACTTTCTTGGTAGTACTAATGCAGATAAATCATGTTTAATCAATAGTATCTGTAAAACAGAAGTGTGCAAAATTAGTAATGATGAAATGATTGGCACACAAAATTTTCAAGTAATATCCGTACCAGAAATGAATGCTACTTTCGTTGACACTATTGGATTTAGTTCACAAACAGATGGCTCTCCGTTGGTAAAAAGATTTAAAAAGGAAATGCAAACAGATGTGTTTCCTGATGCTGTCATTCTGATTATCACACCAGAAGAATTGAGCAATATAAATTCTCTGAAGAACACTATGGATGACGTCAATAATGCTCTAAAATGGATGAAAACAATTTTTTATGGTACTGAAATGCCTGTTATATGTGTACTCAACAAAATTGATGAATACTTCAATAATGAATTGCCGAATTCGGAAGCTGATGTAAAAAAACTCGAAGAATACACTAGAAACGCTTTGAAGTTAGTAAATAAATACTTAATTATTCCAACTGTTAAATGTATTCCTGTATCTGCTATGAAAAATTATGGCATCGATCAACTTCGACTGAGTATTAATGCTACATCACCACTAAATGCACAAATTGTTGACAAAAATCTTGATTATATTAGTCAACATCGACTATCAATTGCCAATAAAATTATTGCTGCTTTTTCTACAGCTTCTGCAGCAGTTTCTTAGCTTCCCATAGCCGATACTATAATTGTCACTTTTTGGCAAGAATGGATGTATCGAATGTTGGCTTGTTTTTCAGCTGATCCCAGTCGAACACTAAACTCGTTCAAAGCGATGCATTGTATTCGCCAAGGAACAAGTTTAGCGACTCATACTAGTGCGCTTTTCGTTGGAGGTTTATTTCAATTAACTCCTGTTGGATATTCAATTGGCTCAGGTATTTGTGTATTCGCAGGTGCAATGTCAACAACTGCTCTTGGATGGGAATGTTTTTTTTATATTGTTGTCTAAGTCTTGTCATAATCTCTAAAATTGAAATTTTTCAGGAAGAAAATTCATGTCACTTGTTAATATGCATCTTTTCTAATATCTTCAAGAAAAGATTCTAATCTATACATGAATATTGTTTTCTTTTGTTATATGTGACTTTTTCTCATTATAATGTTTTGTTATATGAATGTGTTTTGTTTCGGGAGTTTGGGACTATGTCATTAATTAGAGTCTCGTAATAGTCAGCTCTTGAAATATGCCATATAATCGAACACGTCTTATTATTGATAAGAATGAATTAGAAAGTGCAGCGTATTAGGTGACAACAGAAGAAAATGTTGTCAAATTACAGCATACTTAAACTCAAAATTTGCATTGGAACAGGAGAACATGTTACAGACATCTAGATGTTTGGGAGACTCAGAATAAGAAGATGTTGTTTAAGTAGTTTATTTCTTCTTGTAATACTGATATTTTGTTTTGATAAATATTTCTTATCTTTAATTAAATTAATCAATTTAGTAGTCAATTTATCAAAAAGAATACTTTTATCTATGAAATCGTATGTTTAATTAAATTATTGCTTTCTCAATCTTCTATTCTTGTTTTCTTGCGTCCTGTTTCAATAGTAAATAATCATCATATAAATGCATATAACGATCTTGAAGTTCAAATGAATCTAATGTAGAAAGCATTTGACATTCATTTAATATTCGTTTAGCTTGACACTAAGTTTCATATAATTATAATAAATTTGAATATTTTTCCAATAACTTCATCGAATGATGAATTCATGTCAGATGTTATACGTATATCAAGTACGAGAGAAAATATCATTATTATTATTATTATTATTATTATTATTATCATTTTAGTTAATTTATTTTATATAGTTTGAACGAAAATAAACAAACTATTGTAAGTACATTTTATATCATTGTAAAGTGACATTGATAAACATTTTTTTTGATAGTGATCTCTCTCGAAAATAGTCTTTTTATTGTTAAATGATTTTGTAATTTAGAAGTGACTAAAGAAATACATTAGCGTATCATATAAAGAATACTAGAGACACTTTTGAAGTAAAAAAAAAGATACTTCAGAGACATTATGAATACTACTGTGAAAAATATCGAGTATCATAAGAAGATGAAATGATAAAAAAATGTCCAATCATGACTATCATTCTTCAGTAGCCTTTATGAATTATTTTCTGAAATATTATCAGAAAGTTTGATCATAAGTGGTTCTCAAAATCAACTAGTTGTCTGTAAATCAAATTATTTAAAAAAGAATAAAAATCAAGTCAAAATGTCAGCCATGCTCTGTATCTAACAAATAATGCAGAAAAAATAAAGCACTTTTATGTTGTCAGTACCAAAATTATCAATAAACAACAAGAAAAAAAATCGACTCATTGCCTAACTACGAAATTATTTTTTCAAGAAGACATGCATATCGCGTGTCAAAACATAGCATTAGGCAGAGAACATTTGCCATAAGGACTATAGTCAAGTTCATGTTCCAACAGCAAGACAAAAGATTATTATTTTGAAAGTGATTTCAAAAAAGAATATCAATGGAAAACTTTTTTTTTTTAATAAAGAAGTCATTTTCATAGTGAGGTACTTCACTACAAATAAAGATTTTTATTTATAGTAGAATACAACTATCAATTACAGGTGCATCTGACCAAAAAAATAAATTTTCCATTAATTAAATTTCAGTCGTAGTAAAAATATTTGAAAAAAATCTTATGTACAGAAATTTCTTTATTAGAAGTAATGTTTTTTTAAACGTTGATGAAGACACAACGTAAGTGGATCGTTCGTTATACAACTTTTTTCTTGATAAAGCTTAAGATGATGGTTACAATCAATTGAAAACAAGTTTACATCAAAGAATAAATTTGATTGTCTATATCCAAAAGAAATACTTTCATCTTCTAACATGAAATGCTGACAATAGTAGAACAAATCCACATGGAATTCAAGTTCAAGAACGGCTATAATTATGTTTTCTTGTTCCAGGAAAGAAGAGAACAAAGCTGTATATCAAATAAAAAATTTTCTATTGAGGTTTTTATTATTTTATATTTTGCATTCATAAAATTCATTTAAAATATTTAAGGTAAATAATTATATAATATTCGTCAGTCGTATTCTAATTAGATATGACATGTCTTACGTCATAAATGCATGATCAAATATTTCTTAATTATATATGTATGACGTTCATTGCCTGTTTTTTTTTTTACAAATCAAAAACAATTCCTCTGTTGATCAAACTTGACTTGACAATCATTTCGTTTTCTTTTTTTTTTTCTTTTTGCTTTGTTACTAATGAATAAAAGATTTTCTCGACATATTTCATTTGTCATGCAATAAACAATGCGTGTTGCGATGTAATAATAATTGTCTTAGATTCTGTTTCCTCTTTTTGTTCTTTAGACAATCATTATCATGAATAATCATACAAAGTCAATACCACCTTTTGGATTATTTATTTCTATGGGTCATTTAACATCAATATTTAGCCTTCTATGTATTTTAATTCTTATTCTTATGGCTTTATTTATTATATTTATTAAACACAAAAATAGTTATGTTAGTGATGAACACGAATCACTAAGTGATATGAGTACAAGTATAAATGAACGAAAATCATTAGAATTTCGTCGATCAAAAAAATATTTATCAACATCAAATGATCGCCAATATCCGTCAATAAGTTCATTTCAAATTGAAATTGATAAACAAAATACTCGTTCAACTATAAACTTACTTTCGTCAAAATAATTTTATTCCTTTTGTTCTTTTTTTGTCTCGTGTGAATTTCTTTTAGTTAAACAGAAAAAAAACCTAGTTAATCAAATTCTTGGGAATTTATAAAACGTAAATGAATAAGTTAATTCATATTCTTGTGTTCGATATTCTTCTGGAAAAAGAAAAGATAAATTTTTAAAATTCCTTTTTTTTTGTTTGAATACTTGATATCAATATAGCAAATAGATTTTTTTAATGAGTAAAATTAATAGATGAAATTTTAACGCGAAACATATTATTATCAAAACAAGAATAGTATTCAACAATATCAAAACAGTATCATTGAGTAAAAGAGAACGAGACATGTGATTCTTTAGATTACTAAATACATAATATCTTCTATATTTAGTTGATTAAATTCTTCATTTGTAGAAGTAAATATTGAGTCTTTTTTTAACATTTTTATTCCTAAAAAGTCGAGAAATTCGATTAGATTAAATTATAAAAATAGATTCCATATATTTGCATCATCAAGAACTCTTTTAGATCTTCATAACATATTACATTTGATCTAGTCTAAAAACTTATATATCAAATCTTTTGTCTTGACTATTTTCCATAAGAATCAATAAACAAAAAGTATTATGTGTTCGATCTTATGACACTCTTCGACTTCGTAGTTTTACATTATATTTTCAGATAGATCTTCCCTTTAATCACATGTCCAAAGAGTAGAAAGTGTAGAATATATTCCCTGAAAATCAACTAACAATATTGAGTCAACCTACAGAAACAAAAAAGGAAAAAAACGGAAATGACAAATAGATAGCTGCTGCAGGTGGCAATTGTCGCATTCCATGTAATTTTCAATGATTAATTTTTCTTTTCCATTCTATGGTGTTTCATGTGAAAATGTGTCTACTATTACGTGCAAGAACTTGTTATTTTATTACATTTATTACAATAGGTTAAGTAAATAGCTGAAACCAGAATGAAATACGAATGTAAACTTATAGAGTTTAATAATTTGGAAACGCCAAAATCCTCAGTCGATCTTGTTTGAACTACAGATCATTGTATTATTTTACTCTGTGCTGCAGGTATTCCAAATCAGATAAAATAGAGTCGTACATCAGCAATCGAAGTTGTTTACTCCTTATGATCTCGATTGATTACTAGCTTTTCAGTGATGTCGATATGTTCAAAAATATTTCAATACAATCATCAATTCCTGACCAATGGTAGTTTTATGATGAAGTCAAATTTGATGATTTTCTCCACATGGAACATTACAAAAACCACATAACTCTAGTGTTTTTATCCACCAATTTTGAAATAATAGACCTGATGCAATAGCATCGATTGTCTTGTTGGTTTCTACTAAGAAGAATATGAATTGATTATTGTGTAAATTCATCAAGCTTCTCATTTAAGGCAGTTTCCTAGAAAAACAATATAACTTTTCAAAAAACTTTTGACAGCACTCTTTTTGTTCCGTGAACAAAAAGATGAGAAAAGCATTACAAAGAAAGATTATCGTGTTTTTATTCTTCTCTATTTACATAGATCTTAAACATGAAAACAGTCGATTTATTTTTCCTTCATACTTGGATTAGATATTTGAAACCGTGTTATTTAGATATGCTAGTTTTATTCTAAGATTGAGAATAACGTTCATATCATTAGTCAAGTGTTTTCTTTCGTTCTAACAAATTTTACACAAAATAATGTATTATGATATTTTATCTTATATCTACAATAGTTTTTGAATATAATCTTTGATTTTATATTTGCCGCTGTATTTTAGAGTACAAGCCGAAATGGGGTGGAGAGAGACAAGGCGGAGTAGGATGAAGTCACGCTACGGCAGAGTAAAGCAGCTTAAGATTAAGTCTGCGAATTTCTTCATGCGAAAATTTTGTCATGAAAGCATTTATATCGAGAATCTATATGTATGATTGTCAATGTAAG